TGACCTGGATGGCCAACTTTAGGTGGAGGGCCTTGCTAGCGGTCTAGCTGGGACTGCAACATTGGGGCCAGCTTGTGCCAGTCATAAAACTGTGGGGCTGGAAAGGACTTTGAGAGATCATCTAGTCTATCTCCATCATGCTGAGGCAGTATTAGAACATCCCTGATCAATGTTTGTTTAGCCTATTCATAAACTTCAGTAACAGGAATTCCACAACTTCCCTAGGTAACCTGCTCCAGTTGGTTTCCTCATTCCAGACATTCTGGTCACATGCCCCATTCCACTTACAGACTTTATGTAGCCTCTAACAAGCAGCAGTGACCACATGTTGATGGATTTTTTTCTTCCTCTTGATGCTGTGTTGTGGCTTTGGTCTTCTTAGCTGTCAGATTGTTGCAGGCTGACCTGTAGAAATGTTGGCTTGAGGGTGTGATGAGAAGAACAAGCAGAACCAAGAGTGTATAAGAAAACATAAGGGTAAGAGAATAAGGAAAGTCTATACTAAAACCTTTTGCTGGTATAGTAATGTTGGTTAGTGGTGCAATTTATTTACAACAACATTTCTATACCAGCAGAAGTCCTAGTGTAAATGCAGATTTACCAGCAAAAAAATCTTTGATGTAGCTTTATAAAGTATGTCCACAGCAGCAAGGTGTGTATTATAGCTATACCATCAAGCCTTTACTAATGTAGATTAGGCCTAAAAGTGCACGGCTCAATTCAAAGGCATTTGTATCTTTCTACAGTCTCACTGAAGTAGAAGATACACTTCTTTCATGGGCTTTGCCAGATAAAAATATCAGCCACTGTCACCTCTCACTGGCTCAACACCTTCATAAGTTGGTCTTGATAGTGTCTTCAGTTTATGAAGATGCTATTTGCTATGTAGAAAGGTTGTAATTTGTACATGTAGCAGGGTGTAATTTATGGTTATATTGCTTTTGCCTTTGTAGTGGGAAATCCACACAACGTCTTTAAGATTAGATTTTTAACTTTATTTTATTCAGTTCATTTTCTGAGATTCTTTGAGTTCCATCAAGGTTTAATATTGAAGTCCTGTTTCAAATGAGTCCGTGGTATACCCACACCCTGAATACTGTGTGCAGATGTGGTCGCCCCATCTCAAAAAATATATATGGGAATTGGAAAAGGTTCAGAAAAGGGCAACAAAAATGATTAGGGGTATAGAACAGTTTCCATATGAGGAGAGATTAATAAGACTGACTTTTCAGCTTGGAAAAGAGGCAACTAAAGGGGGATA